TCTTGATTATTATATGTCTGGGTGTGGTTTTCATTGGGTTGATGTTATTTGGAGTTCTATATGCTTCGGTTATGTGAATGTCAGATTGTTTCCCCATATTTTGGAAGTTTTCTGCTATTACTTCTGCCTGTATTCTTTTTATATCATTTGTATTGACTCCTTCCTTCTCATTGATGCCTATTAGTCTCACATCATTCATCTTTGCATCGTCTTGCAGGTATTGAATTATTTTTCCCTGTATCCTAGTTGTTTTAAAGAGATCTTTTCTTACTTTTTCACTAGCTGGAATGGTGTCTTTAAGGTCAGAAAGTCTATTTTCACTTTCACACAAACAGTTTTGCCAGCCTGTGATTTAGGTTTTAATTTCCTGTATATCACTTTGAATCTGTTTCATACACTCTATTTCTTTCCTAAATTGCTTATTCAGGGGTTCCATCATTTTTATATTCTGCTCTATTTTTTTTTTATCAGTGTATTCTTTAGAAGCACTTAGTACTTCTTTGATTATAGTTATCACTACATTTTTTAGTTCCAAAATTATTTCTGATCTGATTTCTTCTATACCTTTCTGCAACTGATTCTTTACTGTCAACGCTATTATTTCTGAGATAACTGGTGTGTGATTTCCAGTTTCCTCAGTGCTAGTGTCTTCTGCACTGGTACTGGGTGGACTCGGGACCTGAAACTGCATTTTGTTCCTTCTCTTTGTCATTTTGTATACCACTGTCTTCTGACCTTTGGTGTAGATCTTAGACAGACCTTAGCACCATGTCCGGATCTATGAAGTTCAGATTCCTCCAGGTGGGTGTTGCTTGGATCTGACTGGAGTCTAGCTACTGTGCTCCACTTCTTTCTGCTGCAGCTGTTGGAGTTGAACCCTTTGTGTCACTCTGGCAAGATGTTCTGCTCCTGAATCAGCTGGGTGGGTGTTGCCTCTAGCCTCTTTGCAGGGAGTTCTGCTGAAGGATTCTGTGCCAGGTCTGCACTCTGGGTCTATTCAGGATCCGTGAGCCTCGGGTCGTCTCACTCACATGCCAGGCCTGAGCTCTGGGTCTGTTTGGGGTACAGCGCCCCCAGGTCATCTCACTCACTTGGTGGGCCTGCACTCTGGGTCTATGGACCAGCATTTTAATAAAATGTTTCCTAGTTTCTCTGTGGAAGGTCTGTCTAGAAAAGAATCAGCTACATTCCTCCTGGACTTTCTGCCTATCTTCCATGTAATACTTGGATGTCATTTTAGTTATTTTAAAGTCATTATGTTTCATCTTCCTTTGGTCATTATCTCTGCAAATAGCAATAGATAATTTTATGTAATGGTTTCAAAAAATCTGAATGCATCACTTAAATATCTTGTAATAGTGATCTTTAAAGTTTTGTCTCCTCTTTTCCAGTCATTACTTCACTGCTTTCAGTTTACCCAGAGGAAGGGAAGATTTCTTTTCTCTTTCCTTTGCTTTCCTTTTCTCTCCTCCCCTCTCCTCCCTTTCCCCCCTTGCCTCCCCTCTTCTCTCTCTCTGTCTCTCTCTCTCTCTGTCTCTCTCTCTGTCTGTCTCTGTCTGTCTCTGTCTCTCTCTCTCTCTCTCTCTCTCTCTCTCTCTCTCTCTCTCTCTCTCTTTCTGTCTGTATTTGGTACAAGGTCTCACTGTGCAGCTTGGGCTGGTTGTGATCCTCCTGTTTCAGCCTCCCCAGTGCTGGGATTATATGTGTGCGCCACTACCCCTAATCTTTGTAGCCAGCTCAGCTGTGCCCCTGGGTGGGGCTGTCATGGCATGTGGTGCCAGGGATCCAACCCTGGTACCAGTGCAGTTGCTTAGTCTGCTGAGCTATCTTAGTGGCCCTAGAAGGGAAGATTTCTAAGTAGGAAGACTGAATTAGAACTTGTGCTTCTGATGTGGTTTTTATTGAAGTGAGGGAAAACCAGTCCTAAAGCAAATCTTTTTTTTTTTTTTTTTTTTTTTTTTTTTTTCCAGAACCAGGGATTGAACTCAGGGCCTTGCACTTGCCAGGGAAGCGCTTAACCTAAAGCCATACTTAAAACTGATCTTAAATACCCTAAGCTATGTTTAGTTTTTTCTTAGGGAAGTACCAATTCTACTGTCTGAGAAAATTATAAAGATACAGTGACCCTCATGCTTCTGCCCCTGTACCCTTTAACTATTAAGTTCCCTAGCCAACTTTGACACTCAGTACAAAAGTACTGAAGATGACTCAGAAGGTATTAGTGGATTTGAAGGTCTTGAAAAGGAGAGTAAAACTGTACTTGTTCCTAACTTGTCTTCTCTTTCTCTACACACTGAGGAAAGTCTCTGCTAGGAAGCCTGATGGATCTCTAGAAATAGGCTTCACTGCTATCCACACGGTTTGGTCATGGAAAGGCCCAAGAGAGCAAAGCTTCATGTTTGTGAGGCTGCCTGGCCTTTGTATGAGGCGTTTCTCCATAAACATCATTGTAACTTAGACTCTGGATGTGGGTGTTCCCTGGAGCCTGAGGCCTGCCATGGTCACAAGGGACTGTACCTTTCTGTTTTCTCTGCCCAAGTCTCAGAAGTTTTCCTTTTCCTCTGCTGTCAATCATGGTTATGTTAAAGAGCACCAATAACATAGTTCAGTGTGCTAATTCACAACAAAATTAATCCTTTCATCATGACTTACATTTCCTTTGAAATTAAAAGATGTTAAAACGTAATACATCTGAGACACATAATTATACTCTCACAATATTTGCATGTTAACACTCATAGATCCATGCTTTAATGAACATAATTGACCTACCCAGAGTACTGTAAGGCGGTGCTTAAAGACATCACTGGTGTATCTTCCTGCAGCTGAAGCACTGTTAAGGATTTCAGCATAACTTGCCCACAGCACTTCATGGTCTTATGACTTTAGAATGGAAAGTTTAAGATAAAATAGCCAGTACCCTCATCTTATTGCTAAGGAAACAGAGGCAGGAGATGTTAAGGTAGTTTACCAATTATGTTGGACAGAATCAGAGCAAGAAACCAGATTTCCTCGGTCATGGGTTATGCTATTTCTTTTTAATTTTTCTACTAGACTAAATATTTTACATCACTTCTTTGTGAACATCCGTACAGTAATAAGGTGAACAATGTAATTTATAACTAGA